GTAGGACCAGATGTAAAAGCGTGGAAAGTTTACAGAAAATTGTTCGGAATTGGAATGTTTTGTTCACCATTTTTTTATAAATAATGATTAACGCTGCTCATTGTATTCCACACATTCAATTTTCAGAACCCGATGTACGACACGGATTCTTTTCTAGGCGGAGTACATTAGCTCCACGTATCCGTATTGTTGATGAGTATTTTGGACTGGGTAAAGTTGAGCGAATTATGGCATGCTCCAATACCATTCGTAAACCATCCGTCCCGTTAAGACTACCCGGATCGGAAACTGTACGTCCTGCTCCACAATCCACATTGTACAACCATCGGACTAGATCGTCTTCAAGTGAAGTAAGCGTGATCACTCCGGGTCACCTACGACGTCGTCGAAGGTTAATAGAACAGAGGAGATTGGCAAAACAATGCGCTTCATCGGCTGCCGCGCTCACTGCTCTGAAGGAGGCAACAAAATCGGTTCTGACTACTCCTCCGTTCCCATCGTTAGAGCTGATCGATTTGTCACACAATTTGGTGAGTTTGAACAATGAACTATATTGTACAAATTACAAATTGAAACCTTAGGATTATTTATCCCTGTTTCAAACCGCACCGGTTATAACAAACCGAAACAGCGTTTTAGTTTCCGCCTTCAGTTTATACAATCATTAACCCCGTACCTTCCATCATGCTAGGTCTTATTATAACCATCTTCAACCTTATTCTTGCCAAGCGTCATTCATGGTAACAATATAGTTGTTGATGTGTGTCACATGGTCCGACCACTTATCAACGGAGGTTGATCGAATTGGAGATCGTGAATTACTAAAAACGCTGCATCTAACATCTACATTACTGGTCCACATGTTTCACCAGACTTTTACAATTTGGCGTGAATTTGGTGGCGTCCGAAAGTCAATAGTCTAGACCATTCCGGTTCCCTTAACGAGCAATTCCTGTGTAGCATACAGTAGCATGGGTCGATCTTCTGTAGCATACATTTGATCCTTAACGGGCAATCGGATGTAGCTGCAGGGGCTGTTGAGTCAAAGTTTGACAAATGCCAACAGAGCCTTCTGTATGTGTCTAAACATCATCCGTGATACATCCTCTGGCTCAGACATAGCTACGTAATTAGCAAAATTCACTAATTTTATCTGTTGCTTACCCAGCTAGAGTGTGATTGAAAACTGGACCAATATAGTCCTCTGGCTACCTTTTACAGTTGAAGTTGCAAAACTCATACTCATTCAGAAAAGCTTCAAACTTATCTGGATCATTACAAGACTTCACAATTTCTTTTGCATACTGTATATCAAATAAGATAACAACCGCGAGCATATTGATGCCACTGTCCACGCATGAGGACAAAGATATTTCCGGAATCATACATCAATTTTAAAGTTGATCAGAAAAGGAGAGAGCAATTTCGACGAACACCGCTTTCTCGGGCTAAAAAGAGTCATGAGCCCGAACTCAACTTCGGTATAGATACGATAGAATTGCAGTGATGAACTAAAATTCTCTTGGACATACTTTAAGCAGAGTCAACTTTAGAGTGCAGAGCGATTGACTGAATTGAAGGCTGTTTTCAGATGAAGGAAAATAGAAATCGTAAGTCCGTGGAGCAAATATGTACGCAGATGTTTCATATTTTGGTTCCCATTTTTGATTCCAAAACGTGCACTGCTTCGCGCAGGGTATCCAGACAACAAGATACTACAAGGCGATCTTAATCAAACTAATTTGTCTCCAGTTGTTGAAATAGGAAACATCGTTTCCCTTATTTTTAAACGCCTTTGGGGTGACCAGTTCGAGAAACCGGCCTTAAACTCACCAAGGTAACTTATTTCTCACGCAGAACCTAGTTCACAGGGAGAACTGATATTAACTATCTAGTGTAAGCAAGAGTTGGTCAATCCAATGTTGTCAGAGGTCAATTGAACTGTATCCCGTTCGATTTGTTTGTTGGGCGAGGAACTGAAAATCCGACGCATAGATGAACATGGACAACATATTCATCCGTCAGATCATCTCGTAGCCGAGAAACTAGTTTCACCTAGTCCCCGGGATTGTAGCATAATGCATTTTCCATAGTGTCGTTACCCGGTGTGATAAGCAATTCAAGCTTTTTCACACATTTGGAGATAATAAATTCGGACAGAATTTGGGAACCCTGATATCATGATGTTGAACAGATTGTGAAAAGCATCGATCACTATGACACAGTGTTTCAGTACGACCCACTGTTGTGACAAAAGAACAGTATTGCCTACTTGTCATTTACACTCTGTGCTTTCGAAGCCAGAATGGGATATATTTAGTTATTTCTCCCCACCTCACCCTTCCACCGAATCAATAAAAACGGTTAAATTTTTCGGGAGTAGGCAGTTATTCTACCATCGCGAATAATGCTAGCAAACTGGGTTTAAGGATAGCAATATAGTCAATTTTGACAAAATATTGAAAATCGGTTCTCGTAGCTCGGGTGAACTGAATTCCATTTCGCCTGTTCGCCGAGCTTGGCAATTGGTTTGCAAACGTTTCATCACCAGCCGAGGTGACATCATCAGTGCTTGTGAAGCAAGTGAAAGTGCTTAACAGTCGATTTATAACTCTCAGTACTCAACCTCCTGGTGTTGTCACCTCTGATAGGAAATCGTAGGACTACTCTCATCCTGTCTGCATAAGTTTTCTTTTCTTAGTTGGATTTCATCCAGGGTATTTTTGTTGTTATTCAATGATGACTAACAAACACAGTGCGTGTGTACTATTGTATTTGTATGGACCTCACTCACTGAGAGTTCATTTAATCCTTCAATGGGTGATGTGGTTTTCAAACAATTTTTGTGGAAGCCAACAAAAAGTACTGAATCGCTATCTTGTATTCTTTGGAACTCATCAATAGAAAACACTATTCTATTTCCCTGTTCGCCGAGCTTGGCAGTTTGCTTGCAAACGTTTCAATACGTTCAATACATTTTCAACACGATGTCAGAAGACACTATTTTAGCATCCTTGTCGGGGATCGAACCATCAACCTTCGGGTCGGTAGTCAAAACCAATATCCCTAAGTTGTCCGATCGATGACCAACACCTTAGGAGTATCGCTTCTTCGAGTAAATTACCACGTTCTTATAAATGCCAATACCAGCGTGTATACATAGATATGTTCAGGGATAATCAAGCGCTTAAAGTCACCATCCCATTGATCCGTGGGTCGTGCGGTGAAATTCCACCACCACCACCACCACCATAGCAACAACAACAACGCCACGCCAACCATCTGTGTGAGTAACAATTCATGCAACATTGTAAGGGTAGATAAATTTTGTAGGTTTGGGTATAATTAATACTATCCATAAAATCAAGCTACCTATCAATTACTTTCATCACTTGTACTCTGTTACATCTTTTTTGTTAGAGTGAACTAGCACTAACTGTATTATTTCAGATCCTCTACGAACAACACATCCTTCCGGTTGCTGTATGGCCTGAACTGCGTGAGCTGTCTATTCATCACAATCCAGTCGTATCACGTCACTCGGGCACTCCGCCATTGCTGGAACAATTACTTGTCGGTCGTTTACATTTGAACGTGCGACGCACAACCAACGCATCCAGCTGGTACAATGATAATGGCCAGTTGGTGGCTATAATCGAACGAAAGTCTGAAACGAAAGTATCAAAAATAGAGGACAAAAACAAATTCCTTGCTCTGCCCGGTCCCCTGATAAACCAAACCGGTACCCATGGATCAGAAGCACGTCGGATTTTGAGTGCAAATCAGCTGAAAGCTCGTCAACTGGCTGGTGGTAGACGCAGACCACTGCTAGTTCCAGCAAGGTATTCAAAACGAGTTTTATATTGTCCCCATTGAATTAATTTAAATTTGACAGGAACAAAATAGAATTTTAGTAATTCGGATTGATAAGTGTGAAACTATTCCCGACTGATTTGTCATGAGAACACAAAATAGTAAGGAAACTTGTTTTCGATGCTGCATCAAGTGGCTAAGTACAGCACAATTTATACCAGATTAAACAGGCGGGAAAGGAGACAAATATATGCGAAGGAAATCCGAGTTTAAAGAACGATGATGGACTTGTGATAGTTGATGTTTGTGAGTTTGTATGTCTGTGTGTGTGTGTGTGGAAGGTGGAAGACAGGTTGGTTGTGAATGAGTAGGTAGGTAGGTGAATGAGTGGTTGTTCATGAACGGAGTTTACATCATCAGGGGATGGCCATGGTAAGACTAATATTCTTATACACTGTTTCCGTATGCACGAGGAAGGGGGTTGTGGAGAGACGGACGGCGATCACCTCGGCTGTTGATAAAATTCTGGATAACCTACCCTGATGCATATTCAATGCTCCATCCGGGATCTAAAGTCCGGATTCCACACGTAGTAGTTGTGTACATCACTAGTGAAATTCCTGACATGTTCACAAATACATGTTAACCCCAAATGTCCTTATCCAGTTACGACAGATGAAGAGTATCGACACAAAAAATTCGGGGAGTTTGCAAATCGTATGAATTAGGACAAGGTGAGATAGTTTCCGGGTTTGAACTTTCCGAAAACTAGTATCCGGACGGGTTGATGATCGTAAGGGCACGGAATCAGTAAAATCGATGAGCGGTTCGAAAAGAGAACCTTTTTATTGACAAACCTTCCTACAAAAGGTATTCAGTTACGAATAGAATCATCATGGTTTTTGTACAATTCAATAAAGATAACCAGTCAAACTCAGAAGTGTGTTCTCGATATCACACGCTATCCCGATGCCGTTGCCGCACTTTCTGAACTCAGCCGTGCCAATTTACCAAATCAAATGGACCTGTGGTACAACTTACGGAGGTTGACCACTGTCGAGAGGTGATCAGTGGGTGCTACTCACGTTGGTTAAAATTCAGAGAGATAGGGACCGTTAAAAGCTCTATATTGTTGCTCACTTGACTCAGGCCGGACACTCAGTCGATGATCATTTGATTTTTGCGGGCATCTTCGAGTTAATAGAGTAATTAGGCTTTACAGATTAGCAATGGCTGCGGAAATTGGCATTCATCGATGAAGATTTGAGCTGTGTTCTGCAAGGGAACTGTTTCACGCTCTCGAACTATCTTGGCCTAATGTGTTTAACAACAACAGTCATGCACTGGTCATGGACAGAGCACATGTAGGGCTATGACAAACTGCTTTTATGGTGTTTTTACTGCAGCCTCCGCTTTTGCGTTGGACGCTGTTGGAGATCTTCGCATGGGTTTGGGTGCACCTTGTGAAGAAGTTTGAATGAAACTTTGTTTACTTGGTGTCCGTATATGTAACGTGCCTAAGAAAAGCAAGCAGAAAGCGTCCATCAGCGTAAACTGGGTGGGGCTAGACAGCGTATCATTGAAAGTCAACGATGGGCTGATGAAATACGTACAAACAGGCCGCGGAAGGTGTGCGAGCGATCATCTTGTGAAGACGTCTTGTTGGTAAGCCATGCGCCCGTGAACCGGAGACGCTTCCGGCTTACTGCTCTCTACGCTGGTTCCTAGTCTCTGCCAGAAGGATTCTTGTGAATAGCTTACTCAAGATAACCAATACCCAATAGTGTCTGTCTCAATAGATTCACTTCCTGTGCCGATTTGTCTCCACAATGTACATTTCTAGTTAGAACAGCTACGCGTCCGATGAGGTTTCGCTTCCTCCAAAGGTAGCAAACTGGCAAGGCAGGTGTTCTGACCGATCTATCAATTGTTCCAACACAGCGCTTTTTACTAGTTTCCTCTAAACAATGGAACATATTTACCAGTCCCATTTCGACATCAAATTGAGCGCGTCCTGATCTTAGTTAAACGAACCGCTCATTGTGTCCACCGTGAGTTACCCTGGAAATGTTGTTACGTCCCTGAGTTGTCTATCCTCCGCGACTGTGAAACAGTAAGTAACTGTAATACAGCATAATATAGTAGAGCTTTCAGTTTCAACTTTTAGGCTTTAGGTGGAAAACAAATTCGAAATCGAATTTATTGAATGGTTTATGAAGTACATAGCTTTTATTTTTGATTTAATGGCACCTAGCACAAAGTTCACTACCGTTGCTGTTGTTCCATCTGTGCTTGGACAGATTATCTTCGGAACAGTTGGCCGTAGCGCCGAAACCAGCACGATGCAATCCGGACAAAATGTTGAAGGAACTTCGTGAACAAACGACTCTGTCCGCAAGGTCACAGCAACAATCCACGCTGTCCTCATCCCGTTCCACTGATCTCTCACTTCTATCTGATCAGACCGTCTCGGACCGTTCTGATCACGTGACAGGGGAATCCACCGAGAAGAGTGAACAAGAAGAAGCAGTTCAACGAGCACCGACCATTGCGGATCAGTCAGATGACACAAGCTCGAAGTCCAAGTCAGTTTCGGGAAGGAACGTAGATGAGGCAGATGGTACCGGCTTCTTTACCACACAGGTAATTGACGTGTTTGATGGTAGTTGAAAATTTCTCGCGTGTAAATGTTTTATGAATGTCACCTATTCCCAATGATCGTTCTTCGTTGTGTCCTTATGCCGAAATGGATATTATAAAATTACACGGAAATAAAGAAGCTACGAAGGATTATGAAGCACAGAACAAAAGTGAATTCAGTGATGGACATACATAAAAAAACATTTAGAGAAAAGCATTTCAATAATTGCTTATTAGGTAACTAACCACAAAGAAATATGGCTTTGTGTAGCATGTTTCAGAGCTGTTCATCAATCGACAGAAACCATAAATATGAGAACTAAATGGGTGTGTTCGTTATCTTAGTTGTAGGAACGCGGATGAGTGCCATTCAAAACCAGTTGTATACATATAATCTCTTACCGGTTTTAGATTGTCTACTTGAGTGGTTTTTGTGTTGAGAACAACAAAATTCGTCAAACAAGCTCGTTTTCAGTTATTTGGAATAGGGGATTGATAAATTACAATCCTAATGGTTCATACCGTTTTGTGGTCTTTATGCTATGTAAAATTATGTACTGGTATGCTTACTAATAACCGAAACGATATATACATATATAAACAAAAAGAATTCCTGAAATTTAGAAGTATATGCAAAGTATATATGTTTATGTTAGTAGTTCGGCAAAGGGGTGTACAGGAAAAAGAAGCAAAAACTGAAGGTGAATGAAATTCACGAGTCCGTATAATGTATGGCGAGGTTGCAAAAGGAAATGAAACTGTCCAACCACAAGTAGACTAAATCCGCAAACTTAATTCATGGATAGGTAACTCATCTTCATTTGCGAAGACAACCGGAGATAACCAAACGTGATTTCTGGGATGGTTTTATTCACCCTCTCCTCCGGCTTCAGAACCTGAATTGAATGATGAGCATTTAATTTAACTGTATTTGATAATGTCTAATCTTCCACCCGCGAAAAGCAGCAACTTCGATTATTTTTAGATAAAAAGTAAGTACCCCCCCCCTTAAAGGCTGTCAGGAGACATAAGGGGGTTGGTTGGTTGGTGTTATCGAGCCTCCGTATCGGTGGGGTTTGAACCAATGAGCTTGAAATATGAGAAACGCTTGCGTAATGATAAAACGATGGCATCATAGAGAACACGGGGTAAGTGTCCAAGTGAAACAATTATTGACAAGATAACGCATTCGAAGGTGCGTTGCTTCAGAAATCCAAGTTGAGAGAGAGAGACTGGACAGAATAGACCCAAAGCTCATCGCAAAAAAGCAGCGTTGTCTATAATTTGTCTTTTGACACGAGCAGTAAACAAACCCCTAATCGACAAACACCCAAGATAGCCTTAGAGTCCCGGCATTGTAACCACTGTTTCCGAATAACGTTTCTTTAGGACTCGTGGGTTGATAAGCAAATTTGGAGGGTACAGTAAATTCTATCAGCTAATGCGTGCAATGCGTACAATATTGGAATGATTCTCACAATAACAAACCACCACTGGGTCTGGAAATTGAGAAACACGCTCATCATTTTTTTTTCATTCCAATTTTTGTGTCTTTAGCACATTTTTTAAGTATACAAAACAAGCACCTGGCTGAGAGTTTACTCGTATTTCATATGTCTATTACACTGTTTGAGTAAACCCAAACTCTACATGCTTTTTAAAACCTTTCTAGCTAGCCGACTATGAAGTAAGTCAATCAATCGATGCGACGGACAAGGACGCATCCGGACCACTATTCCCTGTTGCAGAGAATCAATTTTCAGTCAAAGAAAACCTTGAGATGGACCAACCAATTAGCCCGGTCCCCCTTCTTCCCGACCTAGAGTGGTTGGTAGATGAAACAAATTTACCCGATAGTAAGTTTCCTGTTCGGACAGAGAAATGTTTGTTCAATACAACTTACTAGCTAACTAGCTAGCAAGCTATCTGTCAGAGCATCCGATTTCGCCAATATTAGTCAATATTATTTATGACAATGCACTTTCGTGTACCGATTTTGGTGGCTTGCTTTTGACCGCCCACTTGGATGAAAGAGAGTAGAATGAAGATTGAAATGCTGAGAGTAAAATCAGAAGGAAGATGATTCATCAAGACCGCAGTTTGCAAGGATAATGAGTAGATGCACGAGCGCCACTGTTTATGACACCCAGCCATATCATTCAGCATCTCTAATCACCGGTTACCATGATCCCAGGATCTTCATCCAGGGAGTTCAACAGGACCTATCTGACCCAGTCTCTTGGTTTGGGGTTTTCTCATACCTTGCCTTGTGGGTCAGACTTTTGAGTTGAAGGCTTGGATTGAGGATCCCAAAGAAAAACCCCTTCTTCGGTGTGGGCTAACGCGAACTAGTATGTCGTACCTCAAGTCATAGGTACCCATTTTGAGCTAGCCTCGTTACTGATCAAAAAACTGGACAAAGGAAACCCTGTTCCTGTTTAGTGAATGACCGACAGTTATTTAAACCAGTGCTTATGCAAACAAATTCAAAGATACCTCAACTTATGAATTGATCTTCATTTCAGTATGCATACCTTGGTTCGTGTGATGTCACTTGGACCAGAACGTTTGGGTTATCAGAGCTAAGGGGCTTTTCAATCGAAACGCGAACGTTTGCTACTCAAGTCACGTTAGGGAAAAATGTAATCGCCATGCCGATAGATCTTTACAATGACTAAATACCCGGGGCTCTTTGTCTTTCATCAAACCACTTGGTCCCTCTGTGATGAGGTTTGGTTGTGAGTTCGTTTGGGGATTTTTTATTTTTGTTGCAGCTGGATTGACTCTAAATTTATCCGTAGATTCGTTTTGTCGTCAATAAGGAACATCTGTTAAGGATAGATTTTTCAAGATGCAATTAGGAGATATTGTCGGGTAATTACGATGAGGAATACGTCTATGATAGTGAATTAATTAAGGGGTATTGAATACGAATGTCTGATGATGAGGGCGAAAAACGTCAAACCTGTTTGTCGTTTCAAGGAATCACCGTTTCATCAAATCACTCCAGGAAAAAAAACATAAAAATGATATCTTGTCTCCAGTTTGTTGTGATTAATTTGATATTGTATTCTTCATTCTTCCTGTGATTTTCATCGGTATTTTCGAGGAATATCTCAAAATCTTTCTTCAAGAAGTGTCATTTGTTGGTGGTGTACCCTCAGTAACCCCGAATGAACTATCTACAGGATTGTGTGAACTCCACATGCCCGTGTGTCAGTTTTTTATCCTTCGACACATCTATGCCATTTTAACCCTTCCCTTATCTCACTCGCATCCCTTATAGCTATGCAAGCATGTCTTCGAGAACTGAGACACTGGTGTCAACATCGGCCGATCGTTCATGACAACACTTCCAACACCCAGCTGCTTTCGGTAAATAGTTCACCCGCTCCGCCGGTCATCGATACTTCCAGCTCCAATCGATCGAATTGTGTCGATTCCGAAATTAAAATCACGCGGACCGAATCGGACAAAAGTGTCTCAGAAGAACTGAGCGGACAAATGGGAGCGGGCAGCTTGGAATCCGGGATGAAAGAGTTGGCTTTAATGGACACATTACCAAAACTACAGTATACGAGCATGCTAGCGATACATTTACCAAAAGTGAGTGCCCCGTTGAATGAAACAGATTAAACTGGATATGCGGGCTGAATCAAATCGGTTCAATAATTAAAAATGTGTTATTTAGTATTAATGTATTTTCAGTATCCATTACCAACAGATTTAGGAGGAATAGGATGTCATTCCGGTTGACCACCTTTTGATCTATTCTAAATTTAGGACGACTGTCCTGCAGGTCAGATACGGTTAGCCCATTTGAACTCAATGTGACAATAGCTGAAGTTATTTGTTCAAGGTTACTAGTGTTTGTGTGTGACATACACCTGATTAAACCGGTTATTTCTGGTCATTATGGCTGTCAGATGGTTTTTACTGCATAATTCTGTGATATAATAGGTGTGTATTCTCACGATGCATAGATAGGTGGTTATGTGCTCCACTGGAGGCGTAACTCAAGCTTAGTCACTTTGCAATCTGTGATTGATTGAATTAATTAGTGTATTTGTCGGACGATGAGTTCAAACCGATTCCTAACCCCGGAGGCTAGTGCTGAGATGAGTGAGGCGTGATAGTAGCAACAAGCTCGCACAGATGGGTTGTGCTCTCTCTCTATATATATATACATATAATTATATCTATCCTATATTTAAAATAACAAACTATTTGATAAGCTGCCCGATGGCTAAATGGGTATTTTTCTTGCTTTCTACCTTTTGGGATTCCGGGCTCGATCCCCAATTGATGAGACTCAACCAGTTCGTAATAGCGGTAGAACGCATCCTGGTTTTTTATTTCACCCCTCTTTTATACGACGAATTCATCATAAGTAATATGGAATTTGTTGGTATTGGAATTACACCTATCGTTTATCAACCTTATACCCAGTAAGACAGCTTTAACCCACACAGTGTTTGGGTCTTACTTGGTCAATTATTTATGATTTGAAGTTTAAGCTATTCTCACCAAATGTTGAGCCACAAATAAAGCTTGTTAGCACACACTCATTTAACTACTGATAAAATCGTTAGTAAGCAAAATATGAACGTCCTCAACGAAACTGTCCAGTTATCTCGCGTGTTTTCATTCAATTTCCCGAGGCAATGGATCTCAAAGTATCAACACAACTCTCAAAAGACCCAACCAAAAGTGCTGAAATATCCGGAAAATTTGACGTAACTGGTGAGAACGATCGAAATAGTGAATCGAAGAAATTGCCCAAAGGAACTTCTCGATTGGCTAGAAATGTCTTCAATAAGGTAAAACTTAGTGTTTCATGAGCGTATATTCTGTTTTCGAGGTGAATACTGACCGAGCGGGTGAAATGGAAACCCACTAATTTTCCCCTATATCTGTTCTTTTGCTACGGTCGCATTGTGAATCCCTAAATTGTGAGCAGTGAAATTGATCACTATAGTTTGCTCTTACCGTTTTGGGGTTTACGGTCCATTACAAATAGCGATACAACAAAAGGTGACAACGTTTTACCCACTTAGACCGCATTAAGCTTCTTGGCTGGGGATACGGATAGCATTGTAATTACTGGTTTTTGATACTGAATGATATGGCCGAGTGGCGCACATACATCCATTCGTTATCTTTGTAACCTTGGTCTTCATGAATTCTCTATTTCACTCCGAAGTGGCTTACAGTACACAAGCAAATTTGACTGTTTTTGTTTTCTTCCCTCTCTGTTACTATATTTTACGTTCTATCCATGGTACTTTTGACTTGTAATCATTGTTATATTTAAATATATATGGGTATATATATATATATGTATAATCCTTCATCCAAATGAATAATCGTGTGTATGTATCACCTCGAACCGCAAACATTTTCTAAATCACTCACCGATCTACAATGAGAAAATGGACACGAGAAAGTGCTCAGCCAGTTACTGCATAGAGAATATCACCTCGATAGGCTATAATACGTTTTACAAGCTGATTACCAGGTGCGTGGTGATTGGAATTACTTATCTATGCACATCGGGAAGTAAGCTAGACAATGGAGGTGCTCGTAGATGAATGAATTATTGAGTTACCAATTGCGTGCAACATTTCAAATGGATGCCCGTTCTGATGCTCTTCCCCGCTGCTCTATCAATGTACCCACGTATTAAAAAAATATGATGAAAAACAGTAGCATGTAAGTCCACTTTATTTTGTTTCACTTTTCATTTTAACTATTGTTTTGTGGTTTTCTTTCCGTTTTATTTTCCCCATCTAAATCACAACTTTATCTGGCCGCATACATATAATATGAATTTCTTGACCAAATCAATTCTGAACTTCTGGTTGGGTTGAAATCCAAAGACAGAGGATTGCGCAGCGAGGGAGAATCCAATCCTCATGCTCCCGTTAATTATTTTGTGGCGGTTTCGTTTCTTTTATTTTTTCTTCCTTTTATTGAATACACTGTGATATCATTTTCAGGTAGTGGGAATCAGTCAATCAAAGGTATGTCATACAAAACACAGAGAATGGGGAAAACCAGGTGGTGGTAGTGTTGGTGTTGGTGGTGAACATATGCGCTGGTCATTCAGCTTTGTGATAAATGTTTTGACTCATAATCTGCTTGTTGGTAGTGGGATTCGAACACACATTCTCCCGGGGTGATAATCTGATGACCTTTATCACCGAACCACCACCATCATCGTTCGAAAATCAATGTCTAGTCTACGTTTCATATACAAACCTTTCGAAAAGATTTTTCCCAGTATGGAAGTGTCAGCTTTTAAACAACAAAATAAAGGACTTCTTTAAATTTAAAAGCTTTCTTCGTGCATTAATAATATGTCACAGACACACCCAAGGGTATGTTTTTAACCCACCGAGCACGCATAAATAATGATTTCTTGTGGGCGCAAACCTCTCCCGCCCCCCTGAAAAGCAGTGTTTTGGATCCCACAGATTGTCTACCTTTTGACAATGTCCAGTCAGACAGACGGATGACTCCCCTATTTTGGTGTTGATGTGAAACCGAGTGCTAGAGCCCGCAAAAGCAACCAAACGGTGCTAGCCCTCCATGAATAGATATCCGAACCGAGGGCACGTTATCGCCTAAATGGGTGGTGTTCGAGATACCCAAGTATGGTGTTCCGCACTAACCAAATGCAATCTACTCGTACGATCTTGTCAAGAACCTGCGTCTGCATTCTACCTTTCTGTGATCAGACTATAGAGAAAGTCGGAAGCATGAAGTACCCGGAAAGCCCCCAACACAGCTAGAGATGAGGTTTGAGAGAGAGGTTTCATCAGAAATGATGAAGGCCAGTTTAATGCATATCAACCTCTACTCTCTGTTAAACAAGTGTGACATTCGACTTCTCCTCAAACAAAGGGAACACATTCCGTGATCAAAAGTGGTATTGCGAAATTTGGCAAGCTCTGAGCAGAACACGATTATTCAATTTCGGAATTAAACTATCTATATCTTCCCTGTCTTCCTCATGTCCGGTTGGAGCATCGGATGAACGACGTCAAAATTCATCGTCATCGGTTGGTTGAATTATCGCCGCGTTCCGAAACAGAAAATTACTTTGTACAACTTTCACTGACTCAGTCGTGTCTTGTGTGTACCCCTGTCTGTCGTCTTTATCTGGGTGTTGAGCAAGGAAAGTAGTAACAATGGGATCGTCAGACCTTCATTTGACCTAAGAGTGTAGAGAGGTTAGCTACAGCGTTGGTTTTAGTCACCGCGGTACGCCTTCCTGGTTTGGGTCGAAGGACAGAGGATAATCACCGGTTCCAGATGCAGAGGGATATGACTGGCACCAAAACTGTACATCCTTCTATCGAAATTCTGCACCTGTTCAAGAGTAAATCAAGAGTTAACCAGCGAAGCTGCCATAAAATGAACAGTGAAATGTGAAAAGCTTTCGTTCTTTTTGAGTC